CGGTAAAGATCTCCAGCAAGGCAAAAAATGCTAGCGCTCAACACATCAGTGTAAGCATTATACAAGATAAAGAGGAGCCTCAACCTGCCCCCCGGACATCAGTATTCGATAGAATGAACTGTTCAAATGCCAGAGTTTCGGCACCTAAACTCATGGGCGGTCAAAACAAAACTTCCGTCTTCAAAAGGCCCAAAACGTCAGCATCTCGAGGCTCTGTTTTTAAAAGGTTATCGAAACCTAAAAAGCAAAGCAATAAGGCTAGCTCTCCTCCACGACAGTCATTTATGGAAAGACTTGGAGAAGCCAAAGAGCCTTCCAAAAGGAGAAAGACGACACCAGAAGAAGAAGAGATCGATCGCCTGGCAGAAAAGGATGGCGTTCGAAGTTCCATTCCTTCAAGAATGAAGCGCCAAGCAATATTGGAGGTTGACACAGTTGGATCACTGAAAGTGAAAAGGCGCACCATCATTCACACTGGACAATCTTCATGCCAACTAGCTCGGGAGGTTAACACCAAAGAAGAAGCCCAAGACGTCTTCCACATCACAATCCAAGAAGGTGAAGAAGATGAAAGCCTCGAAGAAGATGTCATTGCAGCACCGTCACAACTCGAAGATGGGGGGCAAGCCACAGTTGACGATCTCAAAGAACTCAACTTAGGCACAAGTGAGGAACCGAAGCCTATCTTCGTAAGCGCATTACTAAGTGCAGGCGAGATAGAGAAGTATTACCAGCTGCTATTAGAGTTCAATGACGTCTTTGCTTGGACCTACAAAGAAATGCCCGGCCTCGACCCTATCATTGCTGTGCATCATCTTGCAGTCAAGCCTGGAACGCGACCAGTAAAGCAAACTCAAAGACGCTATCGATCCGAGCTCATCCCACAAATCGAGGCCGAGATTGACAAGTTAATCGAAGCAGGCTTCATTCGAGAGGTGCAATACCCCAGGTGGATCTCCAACATCGTCATAGTCCTTAAGAAATCTGGACAAATACGTGTTTGCGTGGACTTTCGAGACCTCAATAATGCTTGCCCGAATGATGACTTCCCCTTGCCAATCATTGAGATCATGGTGGACGCAACCACTGGCCATGAGGCACTATCATTCATGGACGGCTCTTCTGGATACAATCAAATTCGCATGGCTCTTGAAGATGAGGAACTAACAGCCTTCCGCACTCCAAAAGGTATTTACTGCTACAAGGTGATGCCCTTTGGTCTGAAGAATGCTGGAGCTACATATCAACGCGCAATGCAGAAGATCTTCAATGACATGCTACATAAGAATGTAGAATGCTATGTAGACGATGTGGTGGTCAAGACAAAGAAAAGATCAAATCACTTGAAGGATTTGCGAGTAGTGTTCGAAAGGTTGCGAAAATACAACCTCAAGATGAACCCCTTAAAGTGTGCATTTGGCTCACATCTGGAAAGTTCCTTGGCTTCATCGTCAAGCATCGTGGCATTGAAGTGGACCAATCAAAGATCAAGGCCATTCAAAGCATGCCTGAGCCAAGAAACCTGCACGAGTTGAAAAGTCTACAAGGTCGGCTAGCCTTCATCAGACGCTTCATCTCCAACCTTGCAGGGCGTTGTCAACCGTTCAGTCGACTCATGAAGAAAGATGTTCCGTTCGTATGGGACAAAGCGTGCAACAATGCTTTTGAAAGCATAAAGAAGTATTTATCAAGTCCACCTGTCCTGGGGGCACCTGTACCAGGGAAACCGCTCATATTGTACATTGCTGCTCAGGAAAGTTCAGTTGGAGCACTCTTGGCACAGGAAAACGAGGCCCAAAAAGAAGGAGCGCTCTACTACCTCAGTCGAACGCTTACCGGCGCTGAATTGAACTATTCCCCAATAGAAAAAATGTGCCTGGCTTTGAAGTTTGCCATCCAGAAGCTCAGACATTACATGCATGCTTACACCATCCACTTGGTTGCTAAAGCTGACCCGGTCAAATACGTCATGTCTAAGCCAGTTTTGACAGGGCGACTAGCTAAATGGGCATTACTTCTCAATCAATACGAGATCATCTACGTCCCAGCTAAAGCCGTGAAAGGACAAGCGCTAGCAGACTTCCTTGCCGACCATCCAATCCCGGCCGATTGGAAAATCTCAGACGACCTGCCCGACGAAGAGGTGTTCTGCATCGACATATTCCCGACATGGACGATGTTCTTCGACGGATCTGCACGAGCAGACGGAGCGGGGGCAGGAGTAGTATTCATGTCGCCACAAAGGCAAGTACTACCTTATTCATTCCAGCTAAGCGAATTATGCTCCAACAATGTCGCTGAGTACCAAGCACTGATCATCGGGCTCCAAATGGCAATCAACATGGAAATCGCAGCCCTCGAGATATACGGTGACTCCAAGCTCATAATCAATCAACTCCTGACTGAATATGAGGTGAGGAAAGATGACCTTGTCCCATACTTCCGGCTGGCAACGCAGTTGCTACAAAGGTTTGAGGCCGTAACACTAGAACATGTGCCAAGAAAAGAAAATCAAATGGCAGACGCTCTCGCCAACCTAGCCTCGAGCATGACATTAGGAGAAGACGAAGCTACAAACGTGCCAGTCTGCGAAAGATGGGTAATCCCGCTTGTCACCGAAATGGTATTAAGTGATACAAACGTTATTTCAATACTTCCGGTCAACGTTGAAGAATGGAGACAGCCTCTGATCAACTACTTGGAGCACAGAATACTTCCAGATGATCCGAAACACCGCTCTGAAATACGTCGACGAGCACACCGCTTCCTCTATTACAAAGGAACACTCTACCGGCGATCGTTTGAAGGGGTACTTCTGAGATGCCTAGGCGAGGAAGAAGCCAATCAAGCCATGGAAGAAGCACACTCAGGAATATGTGGAGCACACCAGTCCGGACCAAAGCTTCATTTCCAGCTCAAAAGAATGGGTTATTACTGGCCAAGCATGGTAAAAGACTGCCTAGAATACGCCAAAAGGTGCCAAGCCTGCCAATTTCACGCCAACTTCATACATCAACCGCCTGAACCATTACACCCCACAGCTACTTCATGGCCGTTCGATGCATGGGGATTGGATGTCGTAGGACCAATTGCGCCAAAGTCATCTACGGGAGAGGCTTACATCCTGGCTGCAACAGATTACTTCTCTAAGTGGGCTGATGCCATACCCCTGAAGGAAGTCAAGAAGGAAACTGTCGTCTGTTTCATCAAAGGACATATCATCCATCGATATGGGGTGCCTCGCTACATCGTCACCGACAACGGAAAGCAGTTCTCAAACCGACTCATGGACGAGCTCTGCGAGAAATACAAGTTCAAGCAGCGCAAATCCTCCATGTATCATGCTCCGGCCAACGGTCTTGCAGAAGCGTTCAACAAGACATTGTGCAACCTCCTAAAGAAGGTAATCGGTAGAACAAAGAAAGACTGGCATGAAAGAATAGGCGAAGCCCTATGGGCATACAGGACAACATATAGAACGCCTACCCAAGCCACACCTTATTCTCTTGTATATGGCGTAGAAGCTGTTCTACCACCCGAAAGTCAAATCCCCTCGCTAAGGATGGCTATACAAGAAGGCTTGACTGACGAAGAAAATGCAAAGTTGCGTCTTCAAGAACTGGAGGCACTGGATGAGAAAAGAATCGAAGCCCAGCAACACCTAGAGTGCTATCAAGCTCGACTTTCTAAAGCCTTCAACAAGAAAGTCCTCCCTCGGTCTTTTCAAATGGGAGATCTCGTCATTTCATTGCGGATGCCTATCATCACAACTCACAAGACAAAGAGCAAGTTCACGTCAAAATGGGATGGACCATATGTAGTACAAGAAGTCTACACCAATGGCGCCTACTTAATCATGGCGGAAGACGGCTTGAAGATCGGCCCTATCAACGGCAGATTCTTGAGCGCTACTACCCCTGAAAGGCAACAAATTCCTGCTCCTTGTTCGCATGAGCCTAAACTGCACGAACCAAAGCTCCTGGCCCGCAAGAGCATAAACTGCGTACGGCACCAAAAAAAAATAATAAAAAAAAAATATAAAAAAAAATGTATTTGAACTACGTTACGACTTGATCTCTTCTTTGGAGGGGTACGTAGGCAGCTCAAATATTCAAAATTTGAGTTCAGTCACACCAAAATAAGGAATAAAGATTTAATTAAAAGTTTTGATGCTATTACAATTTCTTTGTACAAAAAAAAATACATGATTTATGTATTTACAAAAAAAAAAAGAAAAAAAAAAATATATATGTACGAGTGTCTCGGCCCAGCAGCAGCAAAAGGCCCAAGCCACAAGCCACAAGCCCAATCCGCGGTCAAGTCCAATGCCTGCTCAGACTTCAGTTACGAATCAGGCCCACTCCCAAGGGCCATTGATAAAGCACTTGTCTTTTCTTCTCAAATGGACCAGGGAAATATCCTCCAAAACGCCACAATCTGATGGGAATGTTCTTCAGTTTGAGGATGGGTACTTAGTTGAGACTGTTTTGGAAGGAAATGATATCGGAGTTGTCAGAGAAACACAAGCACCAGCGCTGCCGCTACCAACAACCACCTACCATGACGGCGGCGGAGATGCCTCAGAGTTGTCAGAGATTTGCAGTTTCTGACATATCTGCACCTAAGATTTGCCAACCCAGCGCAGAAATTATGGTGAATCAGCACATCAACTTAACAGAGGCCATGAAGTTAGTTCTGGTGAAACCCATCGAAGGCCTGCACGAGTCGGACCTAGCGAAGTTCTCAGACCGGGTCGACCCGCCCGAGTCGTGCGCTGGGTGTCTGCACAAGTAACCAGGTCGGGGATCCTGTCACTGCCGAGCTCATTTTGCAAAAGCCGGCGTTGAGTCCCTCTGCAATTCAACCAATCCAGACCTTAAGCTCCATCACGCGGTCTTCCATGGTGTGCATGTTCGCATCGCCTACCAGATCTGGAGCTTCTCCTCCGCGGTCTGCGGTTAATCGCCCTCTGCACCAGTATTGATGGTGATGTGATTGAGTGATAGAGAGAGGGAGAGAGCAACTGCTAAAATCGCCGCCGATCGGGACCAACCCAGTATGCAGTTAAAGCCCTTCAACTCCTTCAGCATCGCCTTCATGATGAGCGGCGCACTCTTGCTTGTTTTCTTCTACAGCTTCCTCGAATTCCCTTTTCTATCAACCTCAATCAAACCCATCAACGATCCGACCAAGTTCACACCCGACCCCTTTACCAACTTGATCGGCGCCTTCAGGAAGTGGGATGCCCAAGTGGGTTGCTCTCGTTTCAGAGAGAAGCACAAGTTGCAGATGTTGCAGAACAAGTCTTCTTCTCTGCAACAAATTCGCGGCGAATCGGAGTGTGGGGAGGCAAAATCGGAGCATGTTAGCGTGCTGGTGAAAGGGTGGACTTGGATTCTTGATAATTTGGATAGTTTGTATTCATGCTCGTGTGGGTTGAGCTGTTTGTGGACTAAATCTCATGTTCTTGCTGACAAGCCTGATGCTTTGCTGTTTGAGACTACTACACCTCCCCTTCAGAGACACAGTGGAGATCCACTTCGCGTGTACATGGATCTTGAGGCTGGCAGGAAGCGATCTGGTGTTGAATATATATTTGTAAGTTATCACGCCAAAGATGATGTGCAGTCCACCTATGCCGGTGCACTCTTTCACAATGGTCGAAATTATCATGTATCCCTCCCTTGACACCGCCAGTTAAATTCCAGATTAACCAAGTGTCTATAGTTCCAAAGAGAGCAACCCAGATTGCAAAATTGCTGCTTTCGCAGAGGGAAAGGCTTCAAATCTTGTAGGGGTGTGAACTTGGCAAGGAATCTTGAACCTGTTGGGTTTAGAGCGCATATTGTGCACAACGCCTTCGACAGAAATCAAACTCGAATCAACCACGCTTCTCCAGGACGTCAAGCTCCAGCACCGAGGCTTCTCCCTTGCAGCATGCGAAGCTCAGCCTTCCTCCGCGATGGCAGGCAGTGCAACGGGCAGTAGCTATGCTCTGTGCCTAGGGTCAGTAGCTATGCTCAGTAGCCGTGCTCAGTGGCAGTGCAACGGGTGTGTAATGGCTGTGCTCGACAGGCAGTGCAATGGTTGTGCTCAGTGGTTATGCTCAGTGGCTGTGCTCAGTAAAGGTAGTGGTGGAGCTTCTTCCTCTGCACCTCCGCCATGGCTGCCGTCTTTGAATGAGATTGACAAAACCAAAGTTTATCAATACACACCCAAAGACCTCCTCCGTCTCTTGCCTCACAGCTGCCACCAACTTCAAAGACCGCTGTCAAACGACTAGCCGGCCGAGAAGCTCTTCCTCAAACTCCAGCTCTCTGTCCGTCTTCGTCCTTCCCTACAAATCCCTCCGCCAAGCATCCTAATTTATACAGAAAGAAATACAATTAAAAAAAAAAAAAAAAAAAAAAAAAAGAGGTGGTGGTGCATCTGGCACCACGTGAAAAAAAGAGGAATGGTGGATCAAAGATGGGGTACAGCCCCATGGCAGATTAAAAGTTTCTGGTGGTGCATGGGCACCATGTGCAGAAAGAAAAAAATTTGTAAAAAATAAAAAAATAAAAAAATAATAATAATAAAAAAATAATAATAATAATAAATAAAACATAATAAAAAATAAAAAATAAAAAAAATGATGGAACTTGGTGCATCCAGCACCAAAAGAAAAAGAAAAAAAAAAAAAAAAAACAAATGCATAGAGAGAAATAGAAGGTCCATTTTATTTATTTTTCTGGAAATTTTACTTAAATTTGCATTATACATAAAAAAAAAAAAATCACATCAAATCAAATTTACAAGAGGGGATATTCAAGGACGATCAGGTGGCGCCTCACAACTCGGCAGAGCTCCAGGAAGAGAAGGCGTTGGAGGTTGGCTGTTTGAAGCCTCAGCAGTCGGTACAGCCCCAGAAGACGAAGGTAAATGCTGCTGGAACAAACCCACAAACCTCCGATGATCAAGTAAAATCTGACCATCAGATTCCTGCATCTGGTCAATTTTCCTCTTCATGTTTGTGGCATAGTTGTGTGCAAGCTTGTGCAACTGTTTATTCTCATGCTTGAGCCCTCTGATCTCCTGTTTGAGACTCATCACTTCAGCCGCCAACGATTCAACTTGACGGGTTCGAGCAAATAGGCGTTGGGCCATGTTGGACACAGAAACCCGCACACTGCACACTAAGAGCCAGGGACTCCTTAACAGCCAAACTCATCGGACCGCCTGGAAAGTAGTCTGTTATCTTTGGGAGTGACAAGGTTCCGGGCCACCACCGCAGCGGTCATATCATTCTTCATCATCCGAATCCCCAACAGGTAAGAGGACCAGTAGGGGATATGAAGGATGGGCGCCATATGTTATCTGGAGAAGACGGGACTACATCTTCACCAAGGTTCAAATCAAAACGACGGTCGGAGGGTCCAGACATTTTCAAAGTGTTGAAGGAATAAGAGATCGGACAAATCAAGATCTTAGAAGTACAAGAGGGGAGTTTTCACAAGCGAAAATTCAAGTGTGCTTTGAAACGAACTGCATGCCTCTATAAAAATCAGCACTCGACGGGATTTCAGAGATCGAAGAGGCGAGCTCAGAATTCGAAGAGGCCATTCAAAAATCGAAGAGGCAAGCTCAAAAATCGGAGAAGCATCTTGCTTTTCCAGACGTGTCGGCACCCGTCACACGCAAAACTCAGCTTTGCGGAAATCACGGGTAATTTGTCGAAGCGCCAATCCCAGATATCGAAGAGGCGCCAGTCTTTTTCAGCCGCGTCATCACCTGTCATATGCACACTCAACTTTGCGCAAATCACGGGCAATTTGTCGAAGACTTTCGGTGAAGGAGAAAGCACGTGAAGTTTACTGTTCAATCACGCGTTAGTTGCCGACATGAGTGAAAGAATAGTACCTCTACAGGTATTAAGGGACCTCCTATAACTGTCCACCTTCACCTTCCATAGCAAGGCAGACACACAGAGTTTTTCTTCATCTCCAAAGATGTTTTCCCAACGAAGCCTCTCGAGTCATTCAGTGTTCCTTATTCCTTGGGGTACCTCTGCAAGCCAATGACTTTAAAGCAAAAGTATCTCATATCACCAGGGTAGAAAGCAAGAGTATCTCATATCATGCACTCTCCCTGTCCTTTCCTTTGTCCTTGTTCCTTACCTACAAAGACAAGGATAAAGAAAAAAACAATATGCCGGAACTTCCATTCAAACTCGGGTAAGGAACCGACTGCTTGGAACCCTTCCCTGATTGACTACCTAGCACTGCTCTCGAGTACTCGCCTTCCACTGCTGCTGTACTTTCAAAGAAGCTGTCATATCTGCTTGGAGGACAGATAAGGCAAGTGAAAATGATACCTTGCAGCATGTGGAGACAAGGTGCAGAAGGAACAAGCAGAGAAGAAATGCGGTCTGCACGATCAACTCAGCAGAAGGAGTCCGAACTGAGGAACTCGAGAAGCTGCCACATCTGCCTAAAGAAACAAGCAGAGAAGAATGCAGCATGCACAGTCAACTCAGCAGAAAGAGTCTGAGATAAAGAACTCGAGAAGATGCCGCATCTGCCCGAGGACGGTGAACTCGTTTTGACCCTCAAATTCTTGGGTCGACTTACTAGGCGTTGTGGGCTGCACGTGCCGATTCACCACCCTTGAATCAAATCCTTAAAGACCAAGTCACCAATTGGAAGAGGAGCCCATTAATCTCGAAGATCATACCGTTGACCAAACTACTCAGGTGTGAATTAGAAAGATTGAACAAAGCAACAAGTCGTCACCTTCACCTCGTGCCTGCTTGCCGTGTGTTCGAGCCAGCCTTCAAGAATCAAGCATCAACGGCCCTTGAAGAAGCTTCCAGCCAAATTCAAAATCAAGCCTCGACGGCCCTGGAAGAAATCACAAGTCCGATTCAAGATTAAGTGTCTACCACCCTTGAATCAAAACCTAGTTCAAGAATAAGCTTTGGAAAATCAACAATTGGAGGAATCTAGAAAATCCTTCAACCCAGTTCAAGATCAAAGCTGTGGAAAGTCAACAAAGCGCAACAAAATACGTGTCGATTCACCCACTACCAAAGCCAAAGATCATCTACCACATGAAGCTCCTTGTGGTCCCAATTTCAACCTTCAAGATCAAGCCTCGACGGCCCCTTGAAGAAATTTCAAACAACAATTCAAGATCAAGCCTCAACGGCCCTTGAAGAAATCTCAAGCCCAATTCAAGATCAAGCCTCAATGGCCCTTGAAGAAATCTCCAGCCCAATTCAAGATCAAGCCTCGACGGCCCTTGGATCGACATCTACAGTAAGGGACTTCAAAACGCATCTCCTACACGTGACAAGCACATGTATACGACGTGCCTTGAAGTGGGGGCATTTGTAGACATCGAAATTTCGTAAATAAATATTGACCGATAAATCAAAGTGTCAACGCTCATGTATTACATAAATTTTACACGTAGCGTGTGACTCAACGAAAATTGAAATGAGTTGGAAAAGTCATCAAATAGGACACGTGTCAACACCTGGCAGAAACGACTTATTTCATCTGGGATATTATATTCAAAATTAGGCATTGGAAAATTCTATAAATACAAGCCCATTTCATTCATTTGAAGGGAAAAATTCATATTACACCTTGAAGCTCTGAAGCTCTGAAACTCCGAAGCTCTCAAGCATCCAGGTTCCCGAAGAATCAAGAAAGCCTTCTTCGTTCTTCGTTCATCGTTCTTCCAAGATCAAGCCCCGACGGCCCTTGAAGAAAGTGTTCTTCGTTCATCGTTCTTCCAAGATCAAGCCCCAACGGCCCTTTGGATCAACAATCATCCACCAATTCAAGATCAAGCCCCGACGGCCCTTGAAGAAAGTGTTCTTCGTTCATTGTTCTTCCAAGATCAAGCCCCAACGGCCCTTTGGATCAACAATCATCCACCAATTCAAGATCAAGCCCCGACGGCCCTTGAAGAAAGTGTTCTTCGTTCTTCGTTCATCGTTCTTCCAAGATCAAGCCCCGACGGCCCCTTGGATCAACCATTCACCAATTCAAGATCAAGCACCGACGGCCCTTGAAGAAAGCACCATCGTTCATCATCCGTTCATCCAAGATCAAGCCCCAACGGCCCTTTGGATCAACAACGTCGACAAATCCATAAATCCAACCGTTCTTCAAGATCAAGCCCAAAACTCCTTGAAGATCCGTTCATCACTATTCTTCAAGATCAAGCCCAAAAGCCCTTGGAGATCCGTTCATCACTGTTCTTCAAAGATCAAGCCCAAAAGCCCCTTTGAAGATCCGCTCAAATCCACCTTCAAGATCAAGTCCACGGCCCTTGAAGAACGTTCATCCTTAGATCAAGCCCAACGGCCCTTTGGATCAATCACACATCGACAAATACACACCTTACGGAGATCGAATCAGAGGATCAAAATAGAGAGAGATTGTAACCCAAAATCATCAAATAGAAATATTTGTTTGTGCACGTTGTTCTTGTCTCTTTCGTTTCAGGAATTTTCCGTGTTCACACTATCTACTTAACATACCATCCTAACTAAACTAACAAATATATGAATTTATATTATACCTATAAACGAGATATGAAACTTAATTAAAAGGTACAGAAAATAATATATCTACAAGAAAGACACCGCACATTAATATGCGATACAACTTGATTATAAAAAAGAATTTGTCGTATAC